ACTCAGTGATCATCCATAATGAGACGTTTAGACGACACGTGCAAGTCGTGTTCTCGCTAGACAAATTAAATTTTACGTCCACGAGTCTTAGATTGAATTCTGCTTGGTCATTGATATATTTCGATATCGACATCTCGGTACATGCGTCGCCAGCGCATGCACTGTTCTCATCGAATTTCATTTGCAAATGAGCTGAACTGGACGTGAATTCTGCTCATCACGCAGCTCCATGTTATATCCTATATTTGGGCTTGATCGAAGTACTGAAAACACAACACAGATATCGTTTTCACTACTATGGCTTCGACTCCAGTGGCAACGACGTAGGTCACCGACAACATCATCAAAGCGATCGCCACATAGTGGACCAGTCTCTTAGCGTTCTCGTGAGAGCGATCGACCTGATATGGGTACCGAGGATTTGGATTATTAGACAACCCAAAAATATTCAGGTGCTCGGCCAAGCATTGGATAGGCCACGGCGAATAGTCTGAGCTGACATGAGCGCAAGAATAAGTAGCGGGTGAATTCAAGTCCGATGCCTTAATCGGCTTGGCAGAGGTACAGATCTTTCGGATTAAGGTAATTATTTTTCTAAGGTCTCACGCCCGCGGTGTATGCCTTGGGCTTGCTAGCTGCACGAGGTGATGCAGCACATGCGCCTGCAAAGGTAGATGACGAAGGCGTACCAGTGGTAGCAGCAGGCGAGTGAGTACCTTCTGCTTGATCTCAAGAATATCTATCGGAAGCTGCACAAAAATCAGCTTCGCAGCGTTCTTCGTAGCTTTGGCTGCACATAGCATTAAACTGTTAGACAGGTGATGAAAATGGAATAGGGTTGGCTAAGACCAGCAAGTGATTCATTATTAAAGTATAAAACAGTCGTCCCGATGTGAATATGAAGCTTTCAGTCCCTTAAATGACCTGAGGTTAAGACAGGTGTGATGTAATTAGATTGACCCCTTGCATGATATTGACATTAAATACTCTCAATGTTACGTTTTTCTAAAGTTGATAATAATTGTGAGTGTTTGACCGTAATCGTACATATGTTTTTAAAAATAACACCTTAGCAAAAATATATAGCTCTGACCCACCTATTGGGGCATATGCGCTAATCAAAAAAATACTCGACCATCAATCGCCGCTAGACTCGCACATTAGGTGGTAAGCGAGGTCCTCCATTCAAATTATAATGCTGATATAGTTCATACAAACTTAGTAGATGTTGTAGCAAAAACTTTACTTTATTTAGTATAATATAATTTTTACTTCATTTGGATATGTCAAATAAAGGAATATCCTCTTTCTTTGCATGTACCGTGTGCCTATGGTTCATAATCACCTACCCACACTGTGTCAATGTGAGTTATGTGTAGCTTTTCGTTTCATCAGAGGGTGCTTCATTACGCCTACAGGCTGACATGCAGTTTTCTACGCGCGTACGGTGCTCACCATTGATAACCCTGTAATTTTTATTTTCGACGGTTAAATATAAATTAGATTGAAAAACAAATCTATTGTTTCCGCAACAGAAAACCTGTTTTCTAAGGTTCCGTCGCATTGCACATACTAATGACGTCTGTTGCACGTTTGGACACCATCTTATGTACTCTTAAGTCAACAAATTACCAGTTAGCCGCGCTCCAACATACAGCTTCTGCACTTGAAGAAAACGAGACTATTGATGAGCCCGCAGTGACATGCAAAGTCAACGTAATTTCACAGCCTAAATGGAATTTTGGAAAGGGACAATCACTGTGGACGGCTATCGCATTAATTTACTCTAGATTCTATTGTAATCTACTCTTTGTCAAAATGATTTAGGGAGAACCAGAATGTTGTGCTCGAAAGTTGCGCCAAGACTTTTTAAGGCCCAGAGGAGATCCTCCTTAAATTATTTGCATCCGTTTTTCTCACTTCAATCGGCCACCATGCTCGAAAGTGCTGTCGGTACATGGACACTTATACCATGTTACCGACTAGGAAGGCCGTCCAATAGACCGCAAAGATGTATCAGTCGCACCGTAACCTACGCATTTAATTCTAAGGAGAAGAACGATTTACATTTTGCCAGTTATTTAGCTTCGCAATAATTTGGTAAAATGTGGTTGGTTTTGATGAATTAGGTAATTGCCTGCGTCGTGTTTTGGTAAATAAATGACTCAAACAGGAAATACTGCTGTTTAAAACGACGAGATCTAATTTTGCACTTTAAGACTGCAAAAAATGGATCTTTAACGCTGATTCTTCTACTTTTTATATAACTGCCTGTGTAAAATTCAAAATAATTATAAAAACAGGCAAAAATGAGACTGCGCAGGGATTTTGGAGCGGCCAAAGGTGGCACGCCGCAATCCATTATTCACGTAACTCTCCGAACTATAGGGACCTGGCACTTTGCCAGATTCTGTCAATTAAAATTTAGAGACTACAGAAATGAAGCTATTTGGCGTGATCAAGTCATCTATAGGCTTATAATTGTATTTTAGAAGTTCGGGGTGAGGAGTAGCTGGGTGACGGAGTTTGAAAAATGTTTCAAGTTATCGATGGTGCACACTATACGCCAAAGAAGGATGTAAGGATGGTGACGTGGGCAAGTAATGTAAGAACACCAGAAATTTTCTGGTCAGCAAACGGAATAGGAGCGGTATAGTATAGATTGCCACGTTGTCGATCAAAGGTTGGGAGTTTCTGCAATTGGTTGCCTTACAACGTCCTCTTCAATGCTGCTGGATTTGATGGTAAAAGGTACACCGTGAAGGCATTCGACATCGACTATCTACCATATCAAGTAAGCTCAGCGGGACATGTAAGAGTATTAATTCTTGTAATGATGGTGCACGTACTGGCTGGACGCAAAACGTTTAGTGGACACAATCAGAGCGAGAAGTCATTCCGCTGAGCAAACTACGTACAGGGGTATGTGACTACTCGTATAAATGCAAAAGCAGCAGTTATCGATTGAGCCTAACCGTACCGACGAGAAAGCGATGAAAATATGTTGGTGGCACGCATCAGCTGGTTTGTTCACGTCAGTGGCGTAACACAGTAGTCGCGCCCCACTCTTTGTCCTATTCTTGCGCTCTTGCTTATTGGCGTTCATACGAGATTGGTAGGTCGTATCACTCCGAAGCTGAGGACTGACGAGATTGGCAGCACTTTTGTACGAGTCCTAGACATCGGCTGAGGCATATTCTAGACAGGAGAGAAACGCATTTGCTAACAGTGGAAGTGATGGCCATTCCCACTGATCATATCCTCATCCTTCTCGTCAATGGCGCCAGGTGTTTTTCATGCATATGAATAGTACAAACAATGAGTGCGTTCTGTCCTTACGTCAACCTATTGTCTCGACATGTTCACTGACATCAAACGTAATGATAACTGCAGCATCATCGACTTTTCGAGATTTAGAGCTAACACGATATACAATATACAGTGAGACAGCGCCCTGCATGATACACGTCAAGCGGCTGTGGAAGCACTCTATACGCTGCCGATGTCATCGCCTTTATCGGCATCGTACAAGAAGGTGATATCCTGCGTTGATACGTATTGAGCCATCGAAACGTGCACGCCAGAGCCGATGGCCTTGTCTTTATCGACGTCCGCATTGAAGAGCTTTCGGTAGACCATAAGATATTCTCATAAAACGACAGCAGTATCATCACGATTGCAGCAGACCTGCAATCCGCTCAGCGAATGAAGTGATCAACCAGGACGACTATGACAGACGAGTAGAAAGAGTTCTTCCTGCACACCCTATACGAACCACGTGGCAATAAAGAAGTGGCACCAGGTGATGGACTGACAGGTGCGCGATAGCCGGTCACTGTGCTGAATGTGTTCCTGGTGCTCTACACAGCCGCGTGGCCAAGTAGATGCGCGCCGACTCCGGGACTACTGCCATTGCAAGCCGCCTTTACAGCGCAGGCGGTGGTTTGTTCGACCGCCCTTCCTATGTCGAGCAATTGCGAGAACGCTAGTCCAGAGCACACAGAGGGCTAGTCCATAGCACACCCAGTGTCGTTTGCACCACAGCTACTTCATCGCGATTCAAGTGGTAAAGATTTAGACGTCGGCCACCGCTTTTGTCCCGTTTACGCTAGAGATATGGCTGGCCCTTCCACGCACGTACTGGACCACTAAGGAAAACAACAGTGCAACTGGGGTATGTCGGTGAGCACTTTTGGCTCTGCGCGCGATCGAGACGATCTTCTCACTTTCAGCACATGTGCTGTGTTCGAGCCCCATCCAGCCTGAGACATGCTGCACGAGTAGGCGCAACGCCCGACTGTGTGTTAGTTGACGACTGTGCACTAGAAGTAGACCGGCCCGGCTATTGGCCAACAGAGGACAGTCGCAATAATCCCATCGAAGCTAGTCTTTGACCAGGCTCGGACCAGAAGATGGACTAGCGCTTGTAACGTGCCTCCAAGAAACTGTCGCTGTTCGTGCCACTGATACGTATATTCTGCAGATGCGACGTCGCTTTGGACACGGACATAGCCAGTCGAACCTGAGTGCCAGGTCTTGGTGAAGGGAATTGATCGTCACACGCAAGACTCGCTTCACAGTACAAGTAACGCCTCTTGCAGCTTGCACTACCGTCGATTCTGGTTGCGGAAAAGGCTCGCAACTAGAAATGACGGTAGCGCTAATCGCAATGTCTGCTTTTCATTCGATGCACAGGACAGCGACTTCCTCTCGCTCGGACTTCCATGTCCACGTCCGAGTCGTCGACGATCGAGAGTGTTCTGGAAACGGGAAGTATCCACTTCACGAGTCTGTGGTTAGCGATTGGTGGGAAAGATTCGGAACCGGACGGAACCGCGAGCTTGAAGAAAGCGAGGCCACCGAATGTGGGCATATTTACTGTTCTTCATCCGTCGAGGACTTTGCTCGAAGCCTTTTGGCCAACAACGTCAATCTCACTTCCCAATTTGCCGTCTCGAACACCGATTGCCCGACCCAACTGATCATCCTTTGCCTCTACAATGCGTCCTTCGCTACTCGTGTCGGCGGCGGTGCTTTGCCTTGCGACCTACGATAGTGCCGTTGCCGCCGCTTCGACGTCCAACAACCTCCTGAAGTCTGGTGAGACATCGTCTGTGCTGGCCGACCACGACGCGGTCGCTGCGGACACGGACCCCAAGCACCAGCGCTTGCTACGCCACTTGGAAGCCGAGGACCCTGAGATCCCGGCTTCAGAACCCGCCGTCATGGCCAGCAACGTCACGGACGCTTCGCCCAGCAACTATCTGCCATCTCGCAAGAGCAACACGGCCGTCGACAACTCTGACACCATGGACAGCTTCGACAGCTCTGATTTCTCGAGAAAAAAAAGGGGAACTTTTGAAGGATATGCGGCAGCCTTCGGAGATTATGCGTATGGAAAGACGTACGCAAAGTGGATGCACACTGACAAACTCACACGAGCCCAAACGAAAGCGAAGCTGTATGATTCCGGTCCATTTTCTATTGCTTCCAACCCCTTGGAAACGATCAAGCGAACGGGCTACATTGGCTATCTCGACAAAGAATGCGCGCTCCCTGAAAATAACGGTCAGCCGGCGTGTGCGTAGTTAATATATACCGCCTGGCTTGCTAGGAACACCCGTGTCGACGATACCAGACGCTGACTGAATTTAGCTTGTAAGACACACAATAAAAGCTGAATCTAACCTGCTCCTTGATCTCTTTCTGAGGTGGTACTCACATCGGCTAAATATGTATTCCTTGATAACGTTTAACCGACGAAAGACAATTGTAAAATTACTTTCTCAACATTACTACATTTCTGGATAGCTTATAACCTTAGATGTTCTTTGTTCTTGTTGTCGTTCATGTTTGGAAGTAATTGCAAAAATTCCTGGCTTTGTACACTCACCCCTCTCCATTAAAGACAACCTTGTGCCCAATTTTTTAAACGTGTCTTATAATAAATCTCTTATAGGGAATACGAAAGGAAGAAGTTGCATGATATTTTTAAAGCGTGAACCGCCGATTATAATGAAATGTAACGTTTTTCTACTTTATGAAGTCTCTCATGTCGAGCTGTTCCGCCCTAGTGAGCCAATTCTTGCGAATAATCGACGACATCTTATACAGATCTGACAGTATGATTCGCGTGTCCTTATCTGAGCGTATGAACTACGAAGGCAAAAGCAGGCAGCACTTAAGTGCTTTTTTTGCACTGACAGGCGCTTGATCTTCGCCGCTTAAGACTTCAGCGGGCTCCACTTCTGCTTCGCTCAGGGCTTGTTGTTCTTCGTGAATCTTCTCTTGGTCCTCGATTTCGACATAATCATCCTCGCTATCGGTTACACCAAGCTTTTGAAATATATAAGCCAGATCGCAGCAGTCTTGTTGGAAAGAGAGGCTGGTCTATCGATGGTCGTTTGTCGAACGCAAATCCGCAACCTGTGGCGCTTCGATGATCCCACTCTTGATCCAGCAACTTCGAATGATATCCCCGCCATCACATTTACAGCTCTCAGCTGCAAACTCAATGGCTTCTAGGATATTAAGTCTGCGTTCCATTTTTCTTCGATCAGATCCATGCGCCATCGCATCTGGAGTTTTTTGTAGAGAGCTTTAAACGATCGGATGATAGATGAAACATATATGTAGGTTAGGAGATTATTGTATAATTGAGACGGACATGTATAAAAATGAGATGAATGGGTTACCTGCATCGAGCGGCTAAATAGTGGAAGTCATGCTAGGCAGAAAAAAATATCTCATTGACATTGTTGAGTTCTCGTTGGACCTTCTGACTGGAAACATTGTCCAGAGATAGCGGGACTTTGCGACCATGTATTCGAAGATTAAATTGATGCAGCCACTTATCAACGATAATTACAGTCATCCAGGCGTTTAAGTTCGCAGTGTATAAGATGCCACGCTTCTCGATCTCCACACCCTTATAGCACCCTGACTTTTTAAACTTTCCGATGATCATGGATTTAGCTTTTCAGAGCCACTTTGCGTTGCGGCACACAGAAACTGTCAGATAAGACCGGATGCTCTTCTTGTCGTTGTTTTGAACCGTTAATAGGGCTATGTTCGGTAGCAAGTCGTAAAACAATGCTGTCCCTTAAAGTTAAATGCGGCACTCAAAGAATATTGTTCAATCAAAAATCGGATTTCAGACTTTGCTGCTACCACATCCTCCATACATAAGCTCCCGCTCTCGCCTGTCAACACGAGATTTTTTTGTGTTGTTCCGCTTCTCGAAACTCTGGAGCAAGCCTTTAAGAAGCTTGAGATTGTGATCTTCGATATCATGGCTCACTCGCAGTCGGTCTGCTTTCTCCGAGACCGGATCTTCAGATAGCTCGTAACTCTCGCTCTATAGAACGAATTTCGGTAGCTCCTTCTCGAACAAGGATGCTATACACGTCGTTTCTTTTTTAGATTAGAATTAGAAACCTCAAAGTCGATTCCTTTAATGACCATGAGACGATGCGTCGTTGGTTTACTTTTGCTGTGCTGGAACTGAATGCTCGCATAAGTCTGCGCTTTGTATAAGCGGATGTTAGGCGTTCTTGGTAGTGTTGTAAGACCCCGTACTTCTGTTCTATAGATAGGGATACTCGCTATGTTGAACTCTTTAAGTGTAAGGGCTCGATGTTCCTGGGTTGACGTGTTGTATCAGTGGTGTAGTCAAGTATTTACGAAATTTAATTTATGTCTTCCTAGCTAATGCCGCACGAAGTTATTAAATTTCGTCTTCTGTATCTGTCTTCATGACGTCATCAGTAATATGGGCCTCATAAGATCGCCTACTATGACATGCTCTATGTCTTCCCCTTGGTCGCGTCTGTGAAATTATGACGCTGCTGAATAAGTTTAAAGCAAATTTTCGGCTCGAACAACTGTCGTATCATACGCCACGTATCTTCTACAGCATCATAAGTAGGGGTAGTGAGTCATATATAGAGGGTTTTCACCTCAAATGGGCGAGTGTTTTTCGTGTCTTATATCTAACTCGCATATTAAGAGAACAACATTCAAATACTATTCAGTTTGAAATGTTCGGCGACATTGTGACCCTAAAATAGAGGGTGTGTCTTTTAGAGAGTGTCTTATAGAGATGTATGACTGTATCCATAGCTGGAAACAACCCCATATGTCTCATATATCGATATTCGCGCTACCATCTTCACCGGCTCATTTGTGCAGATCTTTTCGTATGAGACATGCTATTTAGAGAGCGCGCATTGAATTTAGTTACCATCTACGAAGCCGCGCCGTGGCAAAGACTGAAGCTAATACGGGCCTTGGTGTTAAAGTGAGCATCCTACGTGAAATTACGAAGCAATATTTTTGGAAACTTTAGTTCATAATAGTGGTAAATCATACAAGCGAATTTTACAATCAGAATCTGTCGCAGCTGGTGAGTTGTCAATCTATTGCTGCTACACGGACATGGATTAAAAATAACCTGTCGCACACGTTTGTACACTGAGTGGATTGGTAGCTCTGAATACCACCTACACATTCTTTCGTCTTATACATTACGCCATCTAACATGCTTCTATCAGGGATGTGCGTATTCAAGTTATGCCAAGTATGATCCGACACAAAAATTTATCGCAACCAAAGCTCGCTCCAACATCATTATATTTTTCTATCCATCTCTTGCTCTCTCAATTTTTTTAAGTGAGCTTCGATAGGATGGGAGTTATTTCGAGTGGGTTATGGACTCGATTAAAACAGACTAACAGGAGCTGTGAGTGCAATTAAAGTTTTATATTCAAATTCGGCGTAGGCTCGAGAATGAGTCGTGATCTTGCGCTTTATAGGTATGTGCATCAACGTGCGATGTATTAAAATTATCATATATTCGATAGTGCAGTAGACGGATGTTAATAAAATAGATATAAAATACTGGGACAAGTGAGATAGATGAAGACAAATACACCAAGAAGTGGTTTCTACAGATGTGATTTGGTCACAGAAGCCATATTCCGATGAGAGGGGATGGCTTTACATGCGATAAATCCCATAATATATAGATGATATGATTGTATATCGACAAAAGCTCTGTTGGTGTCCGTATCATAGATGTATACAACTCAAGGATGGTTGCGAAAGAGCAACGCACTGCTTGTATAAGCAACACTTTATTTGCAGTAATTGGAGGATTTCTTTGATACATATAGGTGACAAATCCGAATGCATAATAATAATATGAATAAGGATTAGGCTACATTTGCATCGGCAGCAAAGTAATATCCCAATTAATAAAAATTCGAGATATCAGAAAATAGGAATGACGACCAAAGCGTCGTTGCACATTGGCAATCTGATGTAAACAATGCTTTCTTGAATACAAGCTTGACAACGCTTTTGCCTTCATGTGCAAATGGTGTACAAGTAAATAGTGGTAATGTGACCACTCTCTCTTATGGTGCATGGCAAACTTGTGTCACATGGCGATTACACTAAAACATAGATTACCACCTTGACCTTTATACTAATTTTCATATTCATACCTGTTTATGTAGTGTGGCCTGTAAGAAAGTTGTAAACTCAATAAATCTAGTTATAGATTCTAATAGATGCAACTATGCCTCAGCAATAAGACCCATGATCAATCCGAATGATATACAGATGAGCTCGAATACCAAATGTTTTTAAAGCGCTGGTTACTACTCAAACGTACATCGGCAATATGCCATTCCACGATTATCTTTATTATGTGGATGCAAGACAGTTTATATAGCAATTAAGCTGTAATCGAGCTACAACAAACGTGTATTCTAACTCGGTGAACTTATTGCATGATATAATCCATTAAATTTTTAATTATAAAACATATATTAAGTCAAGTTTTCTGATTACAATTATAACACTAAAGTTGAGTGAGAAATTCGCACGAATCGAGAGTCTACTTTTTATTGGTATATTCCATCACCATAACCCACCAATCGCTGCTACTGCGTGCCATGGATGGTAGCAGATATAGATATTTATATTGTTGCAAAAATCAATATAAAGTAGTACTAATTAGACAAGACAAGATTTTAGAGCAAGATTTAATTGATAAAGGCTAACGCTGTCTTGATCAAAAAGTAGACGCTTGATGTTGACCTTCCTCCAGAATACTTATCCCACAACATACAGGTAATTAGATGCCACTGAATCCATTGCGTATCTACCAAGGCCCCATTACAAATTAACCACTCCACCGTGAGTATTAGTTACCTCTTTCGATATAAATATATATTTATTAACTTCCAACAATTGAACGATAAAGCGCGTACAACGAATACAGTAACACCGTGTAATTGATGATAAATCCCAGCTCATATTTACAGTAAAAAATGCCCATCAAGATGATAATATAAATTGAACTGATTAAGGGTATAGAAATTCGCACTTTTATAGTTATTAAAACTAGTTATGCTTATTTTTCAACTTAATATATATATAGCACAGCGTGATGTCTTAAAGTGTGTCACGGTATTTTCAGAGGAACATGAATGATTATAGATCGATATTATTCAAAGTGGTACATTTTTTCCATTTTGCCTACAGAAGTGAACTGATTATGGCTAACAATATGCTTATTTAA